GAACCGGGCTCCCCGGACCCCCACCCAGCCTGGCCTTAAAAACTTCCAGGGATGGGGCTTCCATCCCCTCTCTGGGCAACCTGTGCCAGAGTCTCACCACCCTCATGGGGAAGAACTTCTTCCCAACGTCCAATCCAAACTGATCCAACTCTAGCTTTAATCCATTCCCTCTAATCCTGTCACTACCCAACATCCTAAAAAGCCCCTCACCAGGTTTCTTGTAGCCCCCTTGAGATACTGGAAGGCCACAATAAGGTCTCCTCGGAGCCTTCTTTTCTGCAGACTGAAACATGTGGAAAGCAGGCAAATCACCAGTGGAAACACAGGAAATAGAAATGCTGTGTAAGGCAGGAAAGGGACAGGAGGATACAAAGCTAGAGACAGAAAGAACAGAATCGAGTATTTCCATTAGAAGGGACTTAGAGTGATCATTTAGTCCAACTGCCTGACTGCTTCAGGGCTGACCAAAAGGTAAAGCGTGTTACTACAGGTGTTGTTCAAATGCCTCTTAAACACTGACAGGCTTGGGGCATCGAGCACCTCTCTCGGAAGCCTGTTCCAGTGTTTGACCACCCTCTTAGTACAGAAATGCTTCCTAATGTCCAGTCTAAACCTCCCCAGCACATCTTCAACCCACGCCCCTTCTGCAGGGCTGCTCTACAAATTTATACTTGTTGCCAGCATTACTCTGTCCTAGGCACAAAACCCAGTGCTTGGACTTGTTAAATTTCATCCCATGATTAACTGCCCAGTGTTCCGACGCGGTGGAAAAAGCACGGCCACCGCAGGAAAAATCAAAGACTATTTTCTCTCATCTCACTCTAATGTCTTCATTATAAGACTACTCCTGCATTCGCAACAATTTTACAGGTTTTTATGTCAATGGAAAAGAATTATTTTCAGAAGTACATTCCTCTGGCTCCCAAAGGGGAAGGAAAATCTAACCAGCGTACGAATTATTTAATTTGTTCAGAACATTATAAATATGCTCCTTAATTTCAGATTGAACAGAATTCAAAGTCAAGAATGGTTCTGGACAAACAATTCCTTGCAGTGCTCAGATATTTGGAACGTTAAACAAAGCTCCCCATATAGTGCACAGTTCTTCCTTCACCAGCATGATTACAGAATAAAGGCTTTGCGTACTGACCAAGTAAATATTATGCCTTTATAACAACAGCATGTTCCTGGCAACTTACACTGTCTGTGAAAATAACTTTAAAATTCTATTACACATTCCTGCCTTGAAATTTATGGACAAAGATCTGTTTTGTAAATTATTTCTGTTTTTTGACTAAAAGGAAACAAAGAAATGTCATGACATTTTTCTAATGGGGTATTAATTTGCTGTCATTTAGTCTTCAGTCACTTTCCTTACCTTAAGTTTAACCTTTCAAAACTGTCATAGAAATTTATCTGTAGAACGACAGAAATTTATCATGCATTTCAACAGACAGTGATACTTTACTTTCAAAAGGAGATAAAAAAGTGAAAATGATAAATGTATGCAACAATGAGTAGTACAGGAAAGGTCAATCAAAACTTTGATTCACCCACCCATAGAAATAAAGACCAAAGGACACTGAATGAAAGGTAAAAAAGTGTCCATTTCAGAATTAATAAGAAGTAGTACCAATTTATCAGGTAACACCCACTGCACTGAGGAATGCATACCACTACCTTTATGTCAAGTTTGCTTCAGCAGAAACACAACAAGTTTTACATGGTGGAGATGTACCTTGTTGGATAAGGGCTTCTGCTGCAGGTTCCCCAGAACCTACATTTACATACTCTTCATTAGGATGCTTTCTGTTGTAATGTCTCTTCAGGGAACCTGATATGTTGCAGGAATAGTAGCAGTGAGCACAACGGAAAGGCTAGGGGCAAAAAGGAAAATGTTAGAACGTATTTCCTCACCTCTTCAGGTGTAAGCTGCAACATTTTGATCCTGAGAAACCACGTTCATTTCTGGTTTAGGCATCTAAGGAGACCTTCCAAAATTCACTATAAATGAAACTAAGTGTCACCTAAAATTCAGTACTTTGTATTATGTGTAAGACACCAAATATTCTCAACATTATAAGGTTATTACCTAATTTTCCTAATTCAGTAAACTGTGTGCTTTCATAATGGATAATCACCAGCCTGACCACGAGCAGACTTGCTACTACAACGGGATGACTCAGCTGCCATGACCTTTGGTCTGAAAAGGGGGAGTAAGAGAGCTAAAATAATTTAAGGTACAGTACACTTGGACAGCCAACCTAATTTAAGAGATAACCATACCTGACAGGGTTGATCTCTTCCCTTTCCTTTCCTTCTCTCTCCAACATGTTCCCAATTTTGTCCCTTTCACTGGCACCTGAATTCATCTGACCATTTGGTGAGCTACATACCTTGACTTCAGTAAGGCTTTCAATA